ACAGCCTCTCAAATCCTGGCCCTCAGACCTTTTCAGAACTAGGTTAATTATCTCTCATCTAGGGTCCTAACTTCCTGTCTTGCCCTTTTAGACTCATGCCATATACAATACCAGGTTAATCATTTTCCTGAAGGTTTCCTGAAAGCCATGGCTCTCCTGTGTGCTGAACCCAGTGATGGCCACAATACCAGCAAAACAGACTAGTTTTGAACCAGAGGGTTTGGCTCTTATGACACCATCATTTCAAAACTTTGCTTTTCTCAATGGCCAATGCAACTTCAGGTTCAACTTCATTCCCTGAGACCTACCACCAAGGAGTTTCTCATGCTATTTCACTTCATCTTCACAACAACCCATCTTGCACTACTGCCAACGTTTTATAATCACAAAAATTCAGGTTGAGACATGATCTATCTTGTACAAGATCATAAAGAGAATACATGATAGATGCTGAATTTAAACTCAGAAATCCATACCCCAAGGCTTAGGATTTTACCATCCCTGTGTGCTGCCTGCTTATCCCATGACAGCTTTGTGAGATTTCTATGACTCTTTATTGCTCTCTTCAACAAAACAATGCTCAGATATGTCTGACTCTTAGCAACCCCATGGCCTGTAGCCCACCAATCTCCTCTGTCCATGGAATTTCTTAGGCAAGAATACTGGTGTGGGGTGCCATTTTCTGCTCCTGGGGATCTTCCCAACCCAGGGATTGTCGAACCACGTCTCTCATATCTCCTGCATTGACAGGCAGATTCTATACCACCAGTGCCACCTGGGAGGCCCTCAACAAAACAAAGCCTACTCCAAAAAAGTAGCTTGTTGGCATGCCAATCCATAATAACAGCCAAGGAAGAGACCATCGGGGAAGGCAATGAAGGGAGAATGGCTCTTGGTACCATTTTATGTGGTATGCAGGTCACTCTCCAACTTTGAGGATGAGCCAGTGCTGGCTCTGCGCCTAGGAAAGCCACGGCCTTCAGGAGCTCTGGGAGTTCCAACCCAAGCGAAGCACAGCATTTCACGACACAGAACTGACTCTGGTGCGCAGGGCACCTGATGCTCTGGGGTCAACTCAGTCTCCCCTGGCTTTGATCCCCAGGTCTTGGGAACTCCTGGGGCCAAGACAGAATGTGAGACACTGATAGGAAATAACCAAAAATTCATTGTTGCCTAAGAAAATGCACATTAGGTGGTGAGGCCTTTGGGACTCTGGGGATTATGTGAGAGCAGGAGGTCTGACTTTCCTTGCTCTGTAAGGTCAGGAAAATGTGACCACAGGGGTGAGTGTGTGATACCAGAGACAAGGTTCTGAAGGAACAGGAGGAGAACATCATCGGGGGAGTGTTAGCTGGACTGGGGTCGGGGTGGGGGTGAGAAGGCCAGCCTGGTGAAGAGGGGTGGTGGGCAGAGGGGCTAGTGCTGGAGACAGGGAGCTTCCAGGAGGGGAATGAGAGGAGGTGGACATGACGGGGCTGCGGAGAAAGTGGATGCATGTGTGGATGAGCTGGGGCTGTGAGCAAGGCTGGGCCACGGGGGACTCTGCAGGCCTTGCTGAGGGGTCTCCTCTCGCATCTTAAGAGCAATGGGATGTATATTTTAAGCAGAGGGTGATGCAGAGAGTGGATGGGGCTTTGATGTGGGCTGGAGTGGGTGAAGGGAGACCAGTTAGGAGGCTGCCTCAGCACATCAGGAGTCAAATGACAGATCCCTGCAATTAAGTTGGGTGTGTGCAGGGGGACAGAAAGGCTGGATGGTAGACCCACCTCACAGAGGCCACGGTAGAAATGATGGTTGTTTTCCCTGAAGTCCTTGGCCCATGGGGGCCACGATCTCTGCACTAGCCCTGGATGTCCTGCTCATGCCTTTGGTGTTTTGTTCTCTCTGCAAGGAGCCCTCTTTCCCCTTCCCTTATTGGTTCAGATGGCTGGAGCCTGCCTGTTGCATTCTCCCAGGCCTGGACCACCACCCTACTCTACATCTCCAGAACTATCGCTTTCTCTCACAACCCTGTTTTGCAGCATGCTAAAGCTCAGCTAGATTTCAGCTGATGAAACTAAACCAAAATGTACTCTGAGGGGTCACTGACTGGGCACTCCCCTGTTTTTTCTTTTTTAAACCACCTGAGACATGTGTTTCTTATTAATAAAAAATTTACATATATTTACAAAGCAATCTCTCCTCCTGTCTTGTCCTCAAGATCACATTTCTACATTCCTTTGAATTTATGACAAAGGTGTGACATCTGAGAGGTTGAGTAACTTGCTCGCTGATGTCATGAAGTCAACAATGGTAAGAACCACAGTAACTACGGCAGTGACAATCAAAGCCTGACCCCCATCGCTGACACCAGGCCAGCTGTGTCGCGGGCACTGCTCTCTGAATTGTTCGTGACACATGAACACTCATCTCCATTCCACGTGGAGGAAGGTCCCATCATTCCCATTTTGCAGATGAGACAACCATCCTGAGGACCACATGGCCAGTAAGTGAAAACACAACTAGAACCTGGGCCCACCTGATGGCAGGGCTCGAGCTACATCAACTCTCACACGCTATCCCAAGCCTACAGCCCACGCACCTCTTCTCCAGATAAAGTGACCAGCAATATAATAAGCAGCTTATGATTTGCCCCCATCTCAATGGTGACATTTGAACAGTTGATTAGGAATGGTGCACACTGTGGATAATGTTATGCATCCAAGTACTTTTCACAACCCAAAAACTAGCCACATGACTTGAAGAAGACTGCAAAACTGGAGCAATAATGCCCATTTGACAGGGTGGATGTGAGAGTTTCGGGAGATGGTGCAGGTGAAATGCATAGCCCAGTGGCTAGTACAGTGAGGATTCAGGAAGTGAAAGTAAAAGAAAAAAACTGAGTGACAGTTTCTCTTAGGTTCAATTTCAGGCATGAGGATTGAGTTAAGAATCTCACATGGTAATGGGGTGAGCATTTTTGCTTACGTCAGGTCACCCCAAGGACCACATGCCAATGCTCTGTCCCTGTGACCTATGACCCTATCACACCATCACTCCTGCAAGGTCTGATTTCTACTCTTTCCTTCTGAAGACTCCCGGGGTGGGAAGGAGCCTCAGTGATGAGGGAGCCCAGCCCCAAAGACCTGAGCAGGAGTTTCTCCACAGTTTGCCCCCAGGTAACCCTTTAGAGAATTGCTTCCTCATAGGGAACCTGAGGGACCCCCAGACTGCCTGAGTCACTCTGTTTATTTTCCACTGCTCCTGAAAATAAACATACTCTTCCCACTTAGAAAAAGTATATGAGGCTGAAATGGCATTTTTGTTAGTGCTTCTCTTCTGCAGTATTCAATTCTACTACTTTTTTTTTTTAAGTAAAATCTATTTCCTTCTTTAAGGAATACCCAGTGTTACTAATGGGACAAGAGTTTATGATTCTAAAGAGAGAAAAAATCAGGGTCTGTTGCTTGTTACCTTATTTCTTAGTTCCTTGGAAAATAAATGAGCCATCTTTCTCTTCTGTCATTTAGTGAGAAAGGACTCCCATAAATACATTTTTCCCCGCCTAGAGATAGTGAGAAGTGACAGGCACTTCACATTCTTACTTGTCTGAGAGCACAGATGGATGCAAATTTGTGGCCCACTAGGTGATTGGGTTTACCTAATTTTGCTCTTTTCCTGAGCCTAGTGTGAAGCCTTAGCCCTGTTCCAGACCATCAAAATCAAGAGGCGAAATACTTGGGCTGTAAAAGGCAGAGGGAGTCCAGCTACACTTGCCTGCTTAGCACAGCTATGCAATACACAAAGGAAGACGGCAGAGAGATGACTCACACAAATATATAGTAAATAAATATATTTCATTCCTATCTCCCTGGCTTTGTTTTCCTCCCCTCCATGCCAACAGCTTGAAATGGAAGGAGGTTGAGGAAACCTGGTTTGGTCTCAAACACAGCCTCAGAAGGTACTGATTTTTATGACCTTGCTTCTCAGCTGTAGCTTTTTTAGAAGAAACTTGCAGATTCTTAGATTAGAAGAACCTCAAATTCAACCCTTCTCGTTTTACAGATGAGCAATCGGAGATCCAGAGAGGAGAGGGCCAAGTCAAAGACCCAGGGAAGTGAATGTTCCTAGGCGTTCTCTGGTTCAACAACCCCACATGCTGTGAAACAACCCAAACAAGTGAAGCTGGCCAGGCAGGGGACTTGAATCCAGATCTCTCTTTCAGGGTGGCGCCCACGCCACCTCCCCCAGTGGGCGCCCATGGTCAAAGGGACTGTGTTGAAGAGAAAAGAGCTTAGGCCTCCTTGTATCTCTCACTGAATTTCTCAGCAGCTGAGGCTCAGCCCAGCAGTAAAATGTCTGGTCCTGCCTCTGCAGAGCAGTTACTGCTTCTGGCATTTTAGAGACGTTGGCCAAAGGGCTTGTCTCTTTTCTCTTGTTCTCAGAAAGGCTAAATGCAGCTTTCAGGTATGTGAAAAATATCAGCCCTGGGCCCATGGGGCTGCCTGCACACTAGAGCGGGATATTTCACAATCTCCAGACCCAAAGGTGGCTTCCTGACAATTTGTTTATCAAACTGCTCCTTCCTATCCCACAGCCTGCCCACACCCACCCACCCACCAGCCCGAGGCCAGCCTCCCTGCCTCTTCCCAGCTCCAAGACCAGCAGGGCCTTCCTCAGCTTTCCAGCTGCGTGCCGGGAGGTCTCCTCTGAGCCCCCTCAGTCAGACAATGGCCACACTTCGGCTTCCTAGGCCTTCTCAGGCATTGCTAGAAGGAGACAAGCAGCCTTCCCCACGGAGACAAGTGGCGCGGCCAATAAAACATTAGCAAATTATCACGAAAACCCGGAGCCATATCCCGGTGCCCGGGAGGGAGCACAGAAAAACCGAGGAGGAGTCTGGGGGCATGTGTCCACCCGGTGCCAGGCTTCCTTCCTCCTTCCAGGCAACCCCAGCGCCGGCTCCTGCACCCCCCGCCCCCACCCTGTTCCCATGGCAAAGAAGAGGAGGACCCACTTACGGCTCGTGTTCATGATGATGCCTTTGCACTGGGTCTTTCATTCAATACGGAGACTCCAGATGCTTTTTTAAATCTTCGGATCTTTCGACTTCACTCATCACCTGGGGGTGAAACAGTCCAGTGTTAGGTCTGTATCCTCAGGTGCCCTCTCGCTTTCTGCTGTCCCTCTCAGTCTGGGCTGTAGCCTCTGGCCTTGAAGGCGAGTGGGCTAATAGCTCAGGTGAGAGCAGGGAGGAGAAGGCGGCAGAGAGGACGCGGGCGCCTGGGTCCGTCCGCTCCTGGGACCTGACTGCCCGGCAGAAGCGGGGCCGGCAGCGCCTGTTGGCGCGCACCCCGACTATTGCAGCCCAGCGGCTCGGGAGCCCAAAGGGGGTGTGGACCACAGGGAGGCAGGGCGGGGGCAGCGCGCTGGGCGCCGGGCTCCGCTGGGCAGCGCGTCCCCGCCCGGCGTCCACGAGCAACGACCCGCCCCGGGACCCACCTCTCGGCCAGCGTCGGGAGCCAGAGGCCCCTGCCCGGGCCCCTGAGAACTTCCAACTCTGCTTCTAACCAGCTGGGTGTAGTCTGGTCTTTGAGCAGGTCGCTGCTGGCTTTGCCTGGTGTTCCTCAAGTGTAGAAGTGGGGCCTGGACAAGTGAATAAGAGATTAGGGGTTCCTCCAGTCTCCTAACTCTGTTCCTACCTCCCCCTTCATACCCTTTATCACTGACTCATTTGTTACAATTATTTATCATCTCTCTTTCCCATGAAAATGTTAACTCCATGAAAGAATGGATGTATTTGCTGACTTTACCACTGTACTTACTTTCCCTCCTAAACTTGTATCAGTGAAGGCCTGCCCCACAGTTGGTGCTTAATCAGTATTTGTTTAATGAAGCCTCCAGGTCATCGTCAATATTTCTTCCACTCAAGGTTCTATAAGTGTTGGTTGCATTATTCTTTGCCAAAACATTAATTAGGACAACTTTATGGTGTCCTAGTCAAGAGCCTAGCTCTGTATTCAGCCTGCCAGGTTCGGAGTCATGGCTCTATCACTTGCCAGATGTGTGACCTTTGGAAATTTACTCAGCCTCCCGGGCTTTCAAATTCTTCATCTGTAGATCAAGATAATGATTGTAACTACCTGATTGTATGGTGTGGTATATTAAACAAGCAAACTAATTTAAAAAATTAGTATAGTGCATCCATATGAAGCCCTCAATGTATGTTAGCTATCATATCATTGTTTACTTAGACTACTTCGTGTGACAAATCCACCGTCTAGCTTTGTCTTCCAGCAGGCCTGCTAGACCTTTCCCTCGTCCATTGCTGTCTGCACTTTCCTGCCTGGGAATGTGTGGTGAGCTCTGCTGCCTTGGGGATTTCAGGGTGTGGTCCTTCCCCTGGGCCAATCACAACGTTGTTAAATGAGGCTGGAAATATATTATCCCTCTCCTCCATGAGAATGTTAGTTCCATCGAAGTATGGGTCTTGTCAGTAGGGTTCACTACCACGTCCTCAACACCCAGAAAAGCACCCGACACATAGTGGGTGTCAATAGATGTTCACTGACAGACTACCCCAGTCTTTTCTGGATCTAGTGTTACTCAGCCCTCAGAATGGAAGGTCCAGGAGCACCTACTTTGAAACACTTCCCTGTGTGAGGGAATATCAGGTATGTACCCCAGTGACTCAACCACACTGGTTCACCCAGTTTTGCATGGCCAAAAGTTTTTTTTTTCCCTGTAGTTAGTTTTTGCAGGTGTGTATTAAAGAAACCTATATTCTGATTCATCTGGTCATGGTTAATTCTGTGGGATGAGATTCTTGACATTCCTCTGACTACTTACCCAGTCGCCTTTCTGAACCTAGTTCATGGTCATAGAACCATTTCTTTTGAGCATAGAAAAATAAGACTGAAAGGACACATAATCCCTATCTATAGAATGTCTCTGGTTAGAGTATGGGTAGAATAAAGAAGCTGTGAACTACTCACACCCCCCAACTTGTAGACAAGAAACAGTGGGTCAGAGAGGCTACACCACCTGCCCCCAGACACACAGCATCTGGTGGCTGAACTGTACCAGATGTTCTCATTTCTAGGTTGATCCTTTGTGAGAGAGAGTCAGTGTACCAAATACTGAGAGGCCAGGATAAAGGTAGTAGCCACCCTCTTAAAACTGGGGAAAGAACACCTCCTAGATAAATACAATGTTTCTACCTCACGCAGGTGAAAAAGTGATACGGCTCATACCCCCACCCCTCCCCGAGATGTGATAACAACAAAAGGGTCTTTAGATAAACTGAAGGGTCAATGGATTTGAAACACCTTGTGATAGCTTACTAGGGATTGTTGCCAATGGAGGGGGAATAACCCTAACCTCCTCACAATTTTGTTTGTATAACAATCACCTGGAGATCTGCTCTGCATGTTAAACAAGCATCCCATGTGATTCACATAACTGTCTGCCACTGAAAAGACCTAGGATAACTCTGAAAATATAGTAGTGTTTAATAAATACATAAGTGATTCCCAAAGATCTCTTTAGAGACCCCCTACATTTTCAGATTGTGATTCTTTATTCAATTCCCAAGTTACCTGTAACTTGCTTGGTTCTAAGGCTTGGAAAGACATCATTTTTCACCCTGGGAGAAAGTTCAGCTAAACTTAACATGTAAAATTAAAAAGACTGTTCAGTGAACATATTTAGTTATCACCCAAAACCTGAATGTTCAGAACTTTTCAGATGTACAAAGTCAAATAAAAGCATATTATTCATTCATTTATTCACTCAGCAGTCATTGATTGTCTACTTTGTGCTAGGCCTTGTGCTGGCAGCTGGGGATAGAAGAAGACAGACAAGACCCTGGCCTCCTGGAGCATAAATCTTTTGGTAGGAGTGAGGAGGACAGTAATGAACTAAGCCAAGTATGAATTAGGTAAACCAGATGGTGGCTTGGTTAAGAGCCCAGGAGCAAATTCCAGGCTGGCTGGTTTTCAATCTCAGCTCTATCACTCACTAGCAAGAGACTCAGCTTCTATGAGCCTCAAATTACTCATCTATAAAATGGTTATAATATGGTACTTACCTCACAGATTGTTGTATGAAATATTCAGCATAATGCTAGGCAAATGAAGATGATGTAAGTTAATTATTAACTATCATCCCTCACTTATATCTACCTTCAGAGAGAATCCTGTCATTTTCTACTTTTCCATAGAGTGATGGCCATGAAAATATGCCTCAGAACTTTCCAGCTATGGGGGGGCTTAACTGACCAGTTCTTGTTTGGGTTGCTTTTTTAACACTACACATATCTGGATGCTGGTGAATTCAGCTCTTTGGAGAGACCATTGGTCCACTCTAAAAGCCCCAATTAGCTTCTTTTGGGGAAACAATCTTATCTTTCTTGCACAGTTATTAGGATAGGAAGAAAGGGGTTAAAAGAAGCTTGAAAAGCTATACCCGTGAGGATGTCTATAACAATCGGAGGTAGCCTGGAAAGACGCAGGAGGAAGCTGGGGGTGGGATCCGTGGTGGAATCGGCTGTGAAAATCATTAGGAAAGCAGAATCTTGGCTCTGCCCTCGCGAGAGAATGGGGCTAAGAGCTGCAGAGCAGAGGGTCCCTTTGTTTGGAAGTTTGTTTTGAACTTTATGACTTCAGAACGGAGATAAACAAGTCGCACTCGGAAACAGACAAATGCTCCTGGGTGTTGGAAAACCAGGTGGCAAAATCATCGGGAGACAGATTTCCACCTTCTTTAGTGGGAGAGAGGAAACCATGGGGCCAACATCAGCCAGGCTGCTCTCCCATTATGTTTCTCTTGTCTCCAAAGAGCTGTCTTCTTTACTGACTTCCTGTCCCTGACTGGGGTGGTCTCTGGCTCTGCTCCTCACTTTCTGCCCCCTCATGGCTATGATTGCTTAACACAGCCCTAGTTTCCAGCTTTTCCTTGTGGTTGCCCTTCTCTTGTTCCCATTCAGTTCCACCCTATACTTCTGTCCTCCACATCAGCCTGCCCCCCTAACCCCACTCCTGTGCTGCTTCTGTCCATTCATAAATAATGAATATGCTCTCACCCATCCTCATCTTGAATACAAAACCCTTCTGGACTATGAGGGATGGGAATGGGGGGCAGAGGTGCTTGCGATCTGATGTATCTACTTGCCATTCCTAGACTATTTGAATATTCCTCCAAGAGGGAATACTGTACTTACTTGTATTTGAAAAATAACGTGTAGTTTTCAGCAAAATGAGAGATCTACATGTGGTAGTGAGGGAATATTGTCATTGTATGTGATTAAATAAAAACAGAAAATTGCAGAAATATATATATATTTCAGCATATTGTATTATATATAATATGTATATAATATATAATATGTAGATAATGTACAGAACATATAGAATATACATATTATACAAAATAGTGTTAAATCATCTTTACCACAAAGGGGATCCTATATAGGTGCTACATAAATATAGACCTGTAATAAATATAGACCTGCATAAAGACTTGGAAGGGCAAACTCCTAATTACCAGACTCTTGGATCAGGTGAGTTTCTGGATTATGTAGGTTTAACAAAATCATTTGGACAAATGTAAGCTGTGAGAGATTTTGGCAGAAATGTATTGAAGAACTAAGGTATTTCTTCATATTTTAGTTCATTAATTTAGTTGTTCTTTATTCAACAACTTCTGGCAGGGTTTTTATTCTGTGCCAAGCACCATCCCGGCCAGGGACAGGGAGAGGGAACAATACATAATCACACAGACTTATTATTACAATCCACAAAAGACGAGAAGAGGGGGCACTCATGGACACTCAGGGAGGGGTGTCTCCCTAACAGGTGACACTTGAGCGGAGGCTGAAGAGGAAGGAACCACCATCCTGACTTGGTTCAGGGTCGGGAGAAGGGGAGGGTGCGGAACTAAGTGGCAAAAGGAAATCACAGGTCTGTGGGAGAGGCAAGACCGGACCAAAGTGATGGATCTAATGGCTTCTTGGTGGAAGAGCTGAGTGGGGTACACATAGTCAGGATCACATTCAGGATTAATGGACCTGGGCTGGGAGTGGCTACATGGACAGGGAGGTCAGAGGTCCTGCTTATAGTCCTC